CTACAATTTCTGGGAGGTATTGTGGAGATATTCTTACCTCACCAGTAGTCTAAGCATTCAGTACAACGTTGTTTGCTGATTACATCAAACCATACATTTATAAAAACATTAGCAAGGTGTTCAAAAGGCCCTGTCTATGACATCACTTGCTGCTGCAGCCTTGACAGGTCAGAGTATTTTGGTGGTTGCCATCTTCAAACGGTCATATTTTTAAAACTATAAATCCTACAGCGAAGAGCTTTATATTGTGAGAATCACAAGACCCAGACCTACATTTTGATGCATAGTATGTCTCTGAAGTATTAAAATTGAAGGCACAGTCGCAGTTTAGAAATTGCACTTCAAATTTGAGCTTCGCAGAGTGAAGTTTCAATGAAAGTCAATGGACGGCATTGGTTGCAAACAAATGGTCATATTGTGAAAACTATCAGGACTACGGCTTAGCCGTTTACATGTTTAGTGGCAGCAGGGATAGCTGAACGTTTTGATATAAGATTTGCGTAGGTGGGCTTGAAAATGAGGAAGTGGTGGCAGTTTAGAAATCATGTCCTGATTTTTCAGCTTTTGGCAGCTCCCACTCTAGCTTTGCCATTCATTCCTATGGGACAAATTGCGCCACAAAAACGACGATATTCCGTGAACCATTCAGCGAAACGTTCCACAAAGTAATAGCAATCCGATCGGGAACAATCTGCACGTTTTGGTAAATTTTTGTCTATGTAGTGTAAAAACTGTGGGAGGAGTTAGGGTGGCAAATTTGCTATAATAATAATAATAATAACTAGAAAAGCTACAATTTCTGGGGAAATTGTGTGAAGTATTCTTGCCTCCACCAGTAGTCTAGCACATTCAATTGCAACGTTGTTGCACAGTTACATTAAACCATACATTTATAAAAACATTAGCAGGTGTTCAAAAGGCCCTGTCTATGACATCACTTGCTGCTGCAGCCTGACACAGGTCAGAGTATTTTGCCGGTTGCCATCTTCAAACGGTCGTATTATAAAAACTATAAATCCTACAGCGAAGAGCTTTATATTGTGAGAATCACAAGACCCAGACCTACATCTTGATGCATAGTATGTCTCTGAAGTATTAATATTGAAAGCACAGTCGCAGTTTAGAAATTGCACTTCAAATTTGAGCTTTGCAGAGTGAAGTTTCAATGAAAGTCAATGGACGGCGTTAGTTGCAAACAAATGATTATATTGTGAAAACTATCAGGACTATGGCTTAGCCGTTGACATGTTTAGTGGCAGGAGGGATAGCTGAACGTTTTGATATAAGATTTGTGTAGGTGGGCCTGAAAATAAGGGAGTGGTGGCGGTTTAGAAATCATGTCCTGATTTTTCAGCTTTTGCCAGCTCCCACTCTAGCTTTGCCATTCATTCCTATGGGACAAATTTCGCCACAAGAACGACGATATTCCGTGAACCATTCGGCGAAACGTTCCACAAAGTAATAGCAATCCGATCGGGAACAATCTGCACGTTTTGGTAAATTTTTGTCTATGTAGTGTAAAACTGTGGGAGGAGTTAGGGTGGCAAATTTTGCTATAATAAGAATAATAATAATAATAATAATAATAATATATATGTGAGATAACATTAAGTGGTCTTGCTATGCAAGAACACTTAATAATAATAATATATGTGAGATAACATTAAGTGGTCTTGCTATGCAAGAACACTTAATAATATATATGTGAGATAACATTAAGTGGTCTTGCTATGCAAGAACACTTAATAATATATATGTGAGATAACATTAAGTGGTCTTGCTATGCAAGAACACTTAATAATAATAATAATATATATGTGAGATAACATTAAGTGGTCTTGCTATGCAAGAACACTTAATAATATATATGTGAGATAACATTAAGTGGTCTTGCTATGCAAGAACACTTAATAATAATAATAATAATAATAATAATATACACTGCTCAAAAAACTAAAGGGAACACTTGTAATTCCAAGTCAATCACACTTCTGTGAAATCAAATTGTCCACTTAGGAAGCAACACTGAGTGACAATCAATTTCACATGCTGTTGTGCAAATGGGGTAGACAACAGGTGGAAATTATGGGCAATTAGCAAGACACCCCCAATAGAGGAGTGCTTCTGCAGGTGGTGACCACAGACCTCTTCTCAGTTCCTATGCTTCCTGGCTGATGTTTTGGTCACTTTTGAATGCTGGCGGTGCTTTCACACTAGTGGTAGCATGAGACGGAGTCTACAACCCACACAAGTGGATCAGGTAGTACAGCTCATCCAGGATGGCACATCAATGCGAGCTGTGGCAAGAAGGTTTGCCAGCGTAGTCTCCAGAGCATGGGGGCGCTACCAGGAGACAGGCCAGTACATCAGGAAACATGGAGGAGGCTGTAGGAGGGCAACAACCCAGCAGCAGGACCACTACCTCCGCCTTTGTGCAAGGAGTAACAGGAGGAGAACTGCCAGAGCCCTGCAAAATGACCTCCACCAGGCCACAAATGTGCATGGGTCTGCTTAAACGGTCAGAAACAGACTCGATGAGGGTGGTATGAGGGCCCAACATCCACAGGTGGTGGTTGTGCTTACATCCCAACACCGTGCAGGATGTTTGGCATTTGCCAGAGAACACGAAGATTGGCAAATTCGCCACTGGTGCCCTGTGCTCTTCACAGATGAAAGCAGGTTCACACTGAGCACATGTGACAGACGTGACAGAGCCTGGAGACGCCGTGGAGAACGTTCTGCTGCCTGCAACATCCTCCAGCATGACCGGTTTGGCAGTGGGTCAGTAATGGTGTGGGGTAGCATTTCTTTGGGGGGCCTCACAGCCCTCCATGTGCTCACCAGAGGTAGCCTGACTGCCATTAGGTACCGATATGAGATCCTCAGACCCCTTGTGAGACCACATGCTGGTGCGGTTGACCCTGGGTTCCTCCTAATGCAAGACAATGCTAGACCTCATGTGGCCGTAGTGTGTCAGCAGTTCCTGCAAGATGAAGGCATTGATGCTATGGACTGGCCCTCCCCTTCCCCAGACCTGAATCCAATTGAGCACATCTGGGACATCATGTCTCGCTCCATCCACTAACGTCACTTTGCACCACAGACTGTCCAGGAGTTGGCAGATGCTTTAGTCCAGGTCTGGGAGGAGATCCCTCAGGAGACCATCCACCAACTTATCAGGAGCATGCACAGGCATTGTAGGGAGGTCATACAGGCACGTGGAAGCCACACACACTACTGAGCCTCATTTTGACTTGTTTAAAGGACATTACATCAAAGTTGGATCCGCCTGTAGTGTGTTTTTCTACTTTAATTTTGAGTGTGACTCCAAATCCAGGCCTCCGTGGGTTGAAAATTTAGATTTCCATTTTTTTATTTTTTTTTGTGATTTTGTTGTCAGCACATTCAACTATGTAAAGAACAAAGTATTTCAGAAGAATATTTAATTCATTCAGATCTAGGATGTGTTATTTTTGTGTTCCCTTTATTTTTTTGAGCAGTGTATATGTGAGATAACATTAAGTGGTCTTGCTAGGAAAGACCACTTTATAATATTTACTTACCTGCTGTCTGCCAGGATTCAGCAGATTCTGCAGGAGAGGGCAGGGCAAGAAGTGAGGTAACTTCCCCTCTTTCGGCCCTGCCTCTTCCCCTCACACGGAGCTCCGCAGACATTACTTGGAGAACAGCCAGGAGCAGCAGGATTCCTGCCAGTTCTCAGAAGGTGGGGTGGAGGGGAGACAGAGGGGGGAAACTTAGAGAGCGATAGGTTGGATAGTGTTCTGGATCAAACCAAGTGTTTGTTTGAGTATCTGCCCCTGTCCAGATTGTTTAAGATAAGATACGTGCACGCGGAAGTAAATCACAATGAGACACAAGTTTCAGATTAATGAAAAACTTTGGAATGTTTACTTAGAGGAGCGGAAGACCCCTTATATAGCAGAAAATACATCATATGCAAAACATGAGATAACCGAAAGTATACATCTTTAATTGTTCAAGTGTCTTATCTAATGCACTTCCTCCAAAGTGTGATGTCAATTCGAATGAATCTCGGGATTTTACTCCGGATGGAGACACCATCTTGTTACACAAGGTGTTTGGTCGATGGGAGGGGGTGCTCTAGCAGCCATTTTGAGTAAATACTGAATACAGGTATACATGGTAAATAGACATTTTGCCTACATTAATTTCTATCCATAACAATTCACCCTTAAAATTACTATTTAAAAATATCTATCTTTAGCAGCTATTTCTGTCCCTAAAACCTGTCCCTTATAGCCTACAGCCCATCTGTCCAACAGGCCTCGAACTCTTTTGGTGCTGCGCATAAGACGAGCAGTGGCTTGTCCACTACCCCCCTCGCTACAGACTGTGCTCGTAAAGACAGACGCTATCCCTACTATATCCCTAAAATACTGTATCCTTGGCAGTGAAGGACTGCAACGGGGCATAGGGTTTATCATAATCCTCCTCATCGATCTCTTGATTAATGAAGGTTGGTGGGGCCTGATCTGCTGTTTTCTCTAAACACTTCTTAATACAGGGAAGAACACAACAAACAATGAGAGCAAGGATGATCAACATTATCAGGACTGCCACACCTATTTGAGCCAGAACTTTCTGTCAACCAGTAATCCACCCAAACCATCTTTCCCATGGATCAGTGACTCCAGAGTTCCTTTTCAATTCCTCAGAGAGGCTCTCTAATTTCTCTATTGCCAGGGTTACCTTGCCATTGGGGCCTGTGTTATCAGGAATGTAGGTGCAACATGTCATGGTGTCAGGGAATATTTTACATAACCCCCCTTTCTCTGCTAGGATCATGTCTAGGGCCATTCTATTCGGGAAAGTCATCTGGGATGTGGCCTGAAGTTGCTCAGCTAGCCCCTGAAGGGCATCTTTTGTATAGTTTACAAACTGTTGTTGATTATATATATAATTAATCCAGTTCATATTCTTGTTGGCAGTAATGATCCAGAAAATAGATTCAAACCCTGCAGCAACTTCATCTCTTGCCTTGAATTCATTAGGCACCCCCCTTGGCACTCCAATGGCATCTATATATATACATGGGGGTCGAAACTGCCTTTTACAGGGGTGCCTCTTCTAGCTCTGAAATGTAAGTGTGACTTGTCGTGTGTATCTTGGTGACTGTCGGATATAATGTGTATTGGCATAATAACTTTGGCCAGGGTGCATTCCCCCCACCATAAATCCTCCAACCTTGACCTAAGCTGCATATCCCCACACAACCAATATATGTCCCCCAGGGATTTAACATGTTTTTGTAGTAAAGCAATTGGAACTGTGCTATATGTGGCACAATATTTACCAGTGAAATTACCCAGAAACCGGCCTTTCCCACCCTATATACCATAGCAGGTATAGTTCCCCGGATATATAGTAATGCCCTCGTCTGGTTTGATGTTCTTAGTCACAATTGGATATTCCTTTTTCCATGATTCACACACTGACTGGTTAGTCTTGAAGTTAGTGTAGAGACTGAGAAAACACACCTCTATGTCGGGGGGGGAGTGGACGGGGGGATACAGTAGGTGGGGTCTGGCTTCTCCACGGACATAGCAGTTAGTTCTGTTGTGTTTGTTAGCATTATATCTCA